ACTCTAGAAACTTTTGGGGGATGGATGATTAAAGAGAAAATTACAGGTGTTGAAGGTAAACTCTGTTCCTAACTTTGCCTTAGGTGAGTCCTGAAAACGATCTCCCCCCTCATTTAATAATGTTATAATGCTGATTGGCGGGCTCTGACTATTCCAAATCAGAAAAGGCATATGTAAACTTTTGTCATTACCACTCTTCTCTGTATATTTTTGATATTTGACTTGGTGAATTTCAGAATGTGGGTTTATAAATGATGAAATTTTTGTGGAGTTGGTGAATGCTCTTGGCCAGTACAATGATGATGATGATGACGATGATGGAGATGATCCTGATGAAGGAGAAGAAAAACAGAAAGATCTGGAAGAGAACAGAGATGGTATGTCTGTTAGGATTGTGTGTAGCCATTACAGCATCTTTCAAAAACAATAGAGTACAAGTAGATTGTCATTCCTTTTTTTGTTGTTAAAAATTACATCGATAGCAGTATAATCAAAATTAGAATGTTATTTGTAACATTTCATTCTGTACTTGAGTGTCTTTATTTCCTTTGGCTAACATAAATATTTATTTGGTTTTGCGTTTCACTGGGCAGTCATAATCATCATCAGATAACATGCTGATCTCTTCTTTGTACAAGTAGTGATCACTTTATATGCACTAGCTCATTGGATCCTCATAATGCTCCACAGGTGGATCTGTCTCATAGTGGAGGAGTTAGGAGGTTTAATGCTGTGAAGTAACTTATTAAGTTCACACTCTAGAGAAAAACAATTCAGACACCATAAACGGTAACCAGCTGTGAGGACTTCATACCTGAGAAACAGAGGTCCAGTCAGAACCAGGAGTTGTTGGAGACTTGGCAAAGCTCATTATTTAAGATAACATAGAAGGATTTGGGGGAAAACTTCAGTTTCAAAGAAGCATAAACTTTTTATAACGGACACCTTAGTGATCATCTAGTTCAGTGCCTTCATTTACAGATGAGGAAACAGACCCAAGTGGGTCTGTGACCAACCAAGGTCACAAAACCAGTTAGTAGTAGAGCTGCTTACCATTTTTCTGCCCACTTTTTTCTGCCTCCCAATTTGCTTAAAACTTTCCATATTGGATTTTGAAGTTGTTTTTTGTCTGACTTAACTGTCATGCCATAGATACATGTAAAATATATTGGAAGTGAAACACAAAGTTGATAATTTCTTAGAAGATGATCTTTTTTACATATAGTTGTGTGGAAAAAAATGAAAGTTTGAAAACTTGTTTACTTTCATTCTTTTTGCCCTTTCATATTTCCTTGTTCAGATAAAGAAAGCCGCCCACCTCGGAAATTTCCTTCTGACAAAATTTTTGAAGCCATTTCCTCAATGTTTCCAGATAAGGGCACAGCAGAAGAACTAAAGGAAAAGTAAGATTTGTTCTTGTGAGGCAGTCTTGTATGGGATATCGCTCACCATTTGGTTTATTGGAAATGGAACTAATGTAATGTAGCTGATGAGCCACTTGCTTCATTTGTCACGTCTGCCAAGACACTTGAAGTGAAGCATAAACCTGTGGAGCTCTGCCTTAAAAACCTTTTAGAACAAACACACATAATACGCAATAGTACATGTAGAGGAAAATTTTTCTGGACACTTGTAGAAATTTTAGTGCAGTTGATGTTTAATATAAGAACATTTTTCATGAATTTGATTTTTGATATGTCTTGCATAATGTGTAATTGGCTCATCACAGATGGTTATAGATGTGTCTTTTGTGCTTTAGGCAAGATAGAAATAATACATGGAATCTGTTTAGAAACTTTATTTTTAGAAGAAAAAACCCACAAAAAAACCCTTTATTTTTAAAATTGTAACTTTTGTTTTCCATTAACTTACATTTCTCTTGGTTCATGTCAGGTATAAAGAACTCACTGAGCAGCAGCTCCCAGGGGCACTGCCTCCAGAATGTACCCCGAACATAGATGGACCAAATGCTAAATCTGTTCAGAGGGAGCAGAGCCTGCATTCATTTCACACACTCTTCTGTAGGCGATGTTTCAAGTATGACTGCTTCCTACACCGTAAGTGCAGTTACTGTATGTTTTCATTTTCGATCTTCGCTGTGGAATTATGTTTTAGAGCAACTTGGAAATTGTTTTCATTGATTACAACTAGAGTTTATCATTTAATCTTGCAGTTCAGATTGAAAAATGCTAGAATCAGTGTCTTACTATTTTTAATTTGTTGCTTGAGGGTTGCTCCAAAGTCTTTTCATGAGTTTGATTTGTATTGCTATCTCCTACCAACCTGGGATATAGGTCAGTGATTTTTCCATAAATTCTAATGGAGCAGTTGTTTCATAATAAACTATTACTTTGAACTAGCTGATAGCCCAGGGCAACACTGCGATATTGATATTAGCCAATTTCTTCAACAAAATTTGTTCAAGGTGCTTATAGATGTTATCATCTATCTAGCTATCTAGTGTTAAATTTTTTCTTTTTACAAATACCCGCATTTGAACATAGGTAAAACATAAAATAGTCTTAATGAAATTGAAGTATGGCACACATAATATTTTCTTATATTGCTGGGGAATGAGGTTTCGTGGTAAATTGTCCAGGTAACTGGAATTTATTTCTTTAAGCACGGTTTAAAAACTACCAACTGCTTTTTGAGGAACATATTTCAAAAATATATTTCATACCTCCCAGTTTCCTATGCAGAGTTTACTTGATATAGAGGTTAGTTTTTCCCATATCACATTTTACTGTGATGTTGGTGACATGGTAACACGGTAGGGGCTCTGCACCAATCTCCCCTGCACTAAATGGCTCCAAGGTGCTTTGTCTTTTTCAGTTTGAACCCACCTTTCACAGAATTTTCCCCTCATTTTCCAGTCATATGTTTCAATGTGAGTTAGCCTGCCCAAGCCATTAGCTCTTACCTCCTGTTGAGTTTTGCTCTGTCTGTGCACTTCTATCTGCATAGCTCGTGATTTGTGGTGTGATGTGCATCTTAGTCTTGGAAACAGTAATTTCTGTGTGTGAAGTGGTTTAGTTATCTTAAGGTAGAAAAACTTAACATTGGTTTTTAGAATTATCATTATGTCTCCCATCTCCTTGCTGTTATCCACACTCCTGTCTAGTTTAAATTGATTTGGTAGTTTTAATAATCAATAGCTGTTGGACAGTTATCAAATACATATCTTATTTGGGTTTCACATAGCCCTTGAAAAGTTGTTTTGAAAAGCATTTCCCTTTATACATGGTCATTTTGTAAAATATGTCCAATTCTTATTAAGAATATTGTAGCCCTAGCTGGTTTTGCTCAGTGGATAGAGCATCAGCCCTGGACTGAAGGTTCTGGGTTCAATTCCAGTCAAGGGCACATGCCTGGGTTGTAGGCTCAATCCCCAGTAGGGGGCATGCAGGAGGCAGCCAATCAATGATTCTCTCTCATCATTGATGTTCCTGTGTCTCCCTTCTCTGAAATCAATAAAAATATGTTTAAAAAAAAGAAAAAAGAAAAATATTGTAAATTGCTGCCCTGGCCGGTATGGCTCTGTGGTTAAAGTGTTGACCAGTGCACTGAAGGGTCTTGGGTTTGATTCCTGGTTAAGAGGGCACGTATCTGGATTGCAGGTTCAAACCCCAGCCCCAGTTTGAATAGGGGAGGCAACCATCGATATGTCTCTCTCACATAGATGTTTCGTTCTCTCTTTTCCTCTTCCTCCCTCCTTTCCACTCTCTAAAATCAATGGAGAAATATCCTCAGGTGAGGATTAACAACAACAAAAAATTGTAAATTGCATGTCTGCATGTGCTTATGGTGGACCAAAGTAGAACTTTTGGTGGGATATTTTGATGTGCTGTCTATTGTCTGAATGGCCTACAGAGGAATGTTTTAAGCATAAAACAGTTGTATTAGTTTATCCTTTTTGGTATTATGTGAAAGTCCATTTGAATGTTCTTTTTGTAATGTATATTGATGTTTAAAGATTTTAAAAATGGATTTTTAGAGAGAGGAAGGGACAGGAGGAGAGACTAAAACATGCATATGCTCCCTATTGGGGATTGAGCCTCAAACTCGGGCATGTGCCCTGACCTGGAATCGAACCCCAAACCTCTTGGTGCATGGGACAGCACCCAACCAACTGTGAGCCACACCAGCCAGGGCTGAGATTTTAACATTTTAATTGGTTAGAATATCAAAGAAGGTATTTCAAGTTTATAATTGATGGCTGACTTTTTTTTTTTTTTAGTATTTTAGCTGTGTAATAGTTAAAAAACTTCAGACATACTTGAATTCATATTTGCTGTGTAATTCTCAGTGACTAAACCTCCCTAAGTCTGTTTTCCTCGTCTGTGAAATGGGGATGAGGATCCTAATACCTGGGTATTTTGTGAGAATTAAATGAGATAATGCCCAAAGCTTCCTAGTGTGTGCTTTTGAACACAGAATTCTGTTTGCTGCTGTCACTGCTTTCCCATGCTTGAATGTTGGCATTGTTGTTCTGTGAGGGACTTTTTAGTAAAAGTCTGATATCTGTCATATACACAAAAGAATTTATGTGATTCCATATGTAAGTATTTAGTAAGAATTCATTCTTAGTACCAAGCTCTAATCAGAACAGACAACAGCAGTATTTTGAGCAGAAGTTAATGTATAAAACTGATAATTTGTACTGATCTGATCATTTGTCACATGACAGCAAGCTGAAGAAGTGAGTATTTCAGGGAAGTGGTGTCTGATGTGAAGCTGTTCTCTTTGTCCATGCAGTGAGGAGTGTGTGTCTGGTCACACCTGCTGCCAAACAACTACTTGCACAAATTATTGCCTTTGTTCCTGTTTCCTGATTTGTAGAACTCCCTGGAAACAGGTGATCACTAATGTTTGTTCCAGTGCTGATCCTTGGATTCACCAGTTCTGTATTTGAGGCATCACTTACTTGTTGAAACATTATAAGATTGTAAGGGCTACTCAGTATACAATGTGTCCCCAAAAAAGTATACACACTTGGAATGATTATAAAGTTAGTCTTTATTAACGTACAGTTAATTTTTTAAAACTTAAAAGAATCTACAGAAATGAATAGTTTTTTTGTTGTTGTTGTTATGCCTGTTTTCAAACTGATGACCATTCTGGTCCAGGCACTGCTGATAATGCAAAGCAATGGAATCCTAAACCTCAAGAATAATTTCTTCAGTATTTGTGTGCTCGCTGTTCGTTGACTGTTGCTGGTCTTGTACCATAAGCTTTTATCTTTTAAAATCTTGTGGCACTTTAAGATACATTTAAAAAAAATGATGTTTTTATTGATATTAGAGAGAGAGGAATGGAGAGGGGGAAAGAGATGGGCTGCCTCCTGCACGCCCTCTACAGGGGATTGAGCCCAGAACCCCAGGCATGTGCCCTTACCAGGAATTGAACTGGTGACTTCTTGTTGATGCTCAACCACTGAGCCACACCAGCCAGGCAGGATAAATTTTCTTTGTTCAAAGCTTGGTCTGGCTTCACCCATTATTTCAAATCAGTTATACCTGAAAAGGAGTTAAAACTAAGTGAGTTATCAACAGTTAAACTCTATATACATTTTTTTGGGGGGGGACACACACCCCCTATATTTTGGTTATTTTTTAGTGTTGCCAATTTAATCTCAAACACAGGTATAGAGAATAGCTGGAATTGTATGTAACTTTTACCTTTGCTTGAAAACCTTTCGATAAGTTTTAAAAAATACATGTTTATTGATTTCAGAGAGGAAGGGAGAGGGAGAGAGAGAGATAGAAACATTAATGATGAGAGAGAATTATTGATTGGCTGTCTCCTGCACGCCCCTTACTGGGGATCGAGCCCTCAACCCAGGCAGTGTGCCTGACCTGGCATTGAACCATGACCTCCTGGCTCAAAGGTTGATGCTTAACCACTGAGCTTATATAATGGCTGGGCTTTAGATGAATTTTCATCAAGATTTCATAGGTTGCTTTCAACATTAAAACAAACAAAAATCCTTGAAATGTCCATGTTTGCTCCTTGTAAAATTTAAAGGTACCGTGCCTTAATTTTTCTGATGATGGACTTTTATATAACAATTTTTCTGTATACTTAGCTTGAAGTATATATTTTCAAAAATATATTTTTATTGATTTCAGGGAGGAAGGGAGAGGGAGAGATAGAAACATCAACGATGAGAGATAATTATTGATTGGCTGCCTCCTGCACACTCCACACTGGGGATCTAGCCTGCAACCCAGGCATGTGCCCTGACGAGGAATCAAACCGAGACCTCCTGGTTCATAGGTTGATCCTCAATCAGTGAGCCACATTGTCCAGGCTAGCTTGAAATAATTTTTAGTAGCTTATTTCAAATATTAGTATTTTAAGATGTCTATTTGAAAAGTATTCTGGACATTTCTGGAAGAGTGAATTCTTTATATATATGGGCTTGTTTGAAATTGTGCTGAGGGAATCTAGTCATAATAATGGTACTTTAAAATTTATTAAAGTATCTTTGATTATAAATATGTTGATTTTTGTCGTTATAGTCTGAAGTTGTTCCTGTCTTCGAGACTATGATTATGGTTAATAAGTCCTGTTACCTAGTTCTAGTTAAGGACCACCAGAGGCTACTGTCCTTACTTGTGTGTGTGTGTGTTTCTGTCTACAGATACATATGTGCCTTTATTTTCACTGAATTAGGGTGAGAATATCAATCTACAAATATATCAGGTGTTAGAGGAGGCATCACAACTAAAAACAGATTTTACCAAAAATGTGTTACTCATTGTGTGCACTAACTCTGGCTAATGACTGCTTTGTTTTTGGATTGATGTAATTCTGGGCTCCTAATGTGACTGTAGCCTTCTGTGTGCACAGTCTGTGTGTTAGGGGTCCTTGTCTGTCCAAAATCTAATCCAGTGCAAAGTTAGTTGTATGGTTTAGGCTCTTGTTCTGGGGGGAAAAAAACTTAAGCACTTGAAAAGAATTTGAGCCTTGAATTTCTACTTTTAAAAACTTAACTTTGTTGTCTTTTTGTTTTCCTTCCTTCATCAGTCTGTCTTTACATTTTAAGTATGACCTTTTACAAATATTTTTTAAATGACTTATTTTATGAGTCTGTCACTTGTTTTTACCCAAATTAATTTTCATTTTGTGTAGTTCTTAACAGATCATTGCCAGTATTCGCCTTGTGCACTGGGAGTTAATGATCACAAATTCTCTGAAGTCCTCACTGCTGTGCACTCATACCTGGTCAGTGTACCAGTATACTGCAGTGTGAATCTTTTTGGTAACACATGATTTGGAATTTTAAGTTTCAAACACTTTGTTGTATTTTCCTGTGGAAAGGTGCTGGTTGCAGGCTCTCACTAGGTCCTTGAGTTGTGTTTGAGTCAAAGAAAATGCATTTTAGTGTTCTGAGGCTCTCCTCTTTATACTTAAAAATTAATTTTGTTTTGTTTTTTAAATATATTTTTTATTGATTTCAGAGAGGAAAGGAGAGGGAGAGATAGAAACACCAATGATGAGAAAGAATCATTGATTGGCTGCCTCCTCTTGCACACCCCACTATGGGGATTGAGCCCCCAACCTGGGCATATGACCTTGACTGGAATCGAACCCGGGACCCTTCAGTCCACAGGCCAATGCTCTATCCACTGAGCCAAACTGGCTAGGGCTTAAAAATTAGTTTTTAACAAGTGGTATTCCATTCTTCTCTTCCATTTGACAGACTGCTGACTTTTCTTTATGAAGAAAAAAATTGTAGATGTCAGAATTCTTTTGGTAAAAATAGGAAATCTGATTTCATTGTAGAGGGTGTATCAGTTGTTTCTATGGAGATATCAAATGTTTATGACCATAGTTCTGAGTTTACATGCATCAGTTATACTTGTGAGGAGAAAAATGTGAAACCACTAATCATTCCAGAATGCAGTGTTTGTGCCCTGCAGGAGTCAAGGGAAACACATGGTGAGAATTCAGTAAGAACTGGGAGGAAAGTTCTGGGATGTGAATCACGTATTAGCAAGACTGAAATGTATTCATTGACTTTTCCCATTGAAACAGGGGAAATGAAGAAGTAAATATTTTATATTTGGGTATTTTATCTTTATTTTGCAGCTTTTCATGCAACACCTAACACTTACAAGCGGAAGAACACGGAAACAGCTCTGGACAACAAGCCTTGTGGACCACAGTGTTACCAGCATTTGGTAAGCTTGAGTGCCATTTGTTCCTTAAGGGCATTTGAGAAGTGCTGATTCTGAACTGGGTGAGGTGTGTGCAATCAGCATTAACACTGTGGCTCCCCTGTGCTTCTCCTGGCCACACGGTAGGCAGAGGTTCTCACCCATGTATCTCTCATAGCTCTCAGGTACTGCACACACTAGTCCTTCATTGATCTTGTATTAGTCTTTGTGTATGTGTTAACCTCTTCAGCTACAATTCAGTCTTTAGGATCGAGGACACTAACATTACACCTTCCAGAGTCTGAGGGTGTGCAGCACAGGTAGCCCACCTAACCCCAGGAACTGGATAGTCACACATAGTGGTCCTAAGCCTTTCTCAGAGCCATAGCCTTTCTTTGAGTTTTAGACCCGTTGTTTAAGCTGTATTATAGGGCCCACAGAATTAAAAAAACAACAAAAAAACGATGGAGAAAAGGTAAAGGTTTAGGGAAGTATGAGGTAGAAAAGTTGTTTTTTTTACGGGTACTATCTTATTTTTACCATTTCCCCTCTTTGAACCAAGCCACTCCTACCTAGGAACTAAGTGGGTATATATTGCCTGTTGGATTTTGGACAGAAGATTCATTGAATGGCACCTGCAGAAGGTATCCTATTTTTAAGCAATTTGGTTTTTGTAGAATGAAGTATAAAACTGTTGGCTGCTCTCAAACTTCTCCCTTCTATTGCCACTAAAAATGGGATTCTTGAGCACTATTTTATATATTCTTCACAAGGCAGAATTCATTTGGCTCATCTGAAATGTTTCTCTGGTCTCTCGGTAGTCAGTGCTCTCACCATTGTTTTATACTTTCTGAGACTGGATGTTGCTCTTCGTCACACAGAATGTAACCCTCACAGCCTTGAGCCTCATGTGTCTTCCTGGGGCTGTGTATCCCTCACAGGAAAAAATGGGATGTTTTAATAGAAATGACAAAGTCCAGCATGTTTATGTGTTTTGTATTCTTGTGTATTTTAACCATGACTATAGAAGCATGTGCTGTCTTAGAAACCCCAGCCAGATTAGGAGAGTTTGACTCCACATGCACAGGAAGTATATGATTTTCCTCATAAAATTTCACTTTTAAAGAAATTATATACGTAAAATATATTTTATATTTTAACTTACTAACCAGTTAATGCATTTCACAAATATAGAACTGTCTTGCCTGATTTCATACCACTGTAGCAATATATAGAACTCATTTCTGTCTTTCTGACATTTCCACACCAGGGGTCCTCAAACTTTTTAAACAGGGGGCCAGTTCACTGTCCCTCAGACTGTTGGAGGGCCGGACTATAGTTTAAAAAAAAACTATGAACAAATTCCTCACACAGCGGCGGCAAAAACACCCGGCGGGCCAGATAAATGTTTTCGGCGGGCCGCAGTTTGAGGACCCCTGTTCCACACTATTAGAAAAAGAAAACAAGCGTATTTAGAGATGCAACTATTTGTGGAAAATGGATATTGTGTTAAATTTCTTGACTACCTTGCTTATTCAATCTTTTGTTTTCTCCTTCAACAAAATGAGTTGTGGAACTTGACCTTGATGTCTCCTCCATGTTTCACTTCATAGGAGGGAGCAAAGGAGTTCGCTGCCGCCCTCACTGCTGAGCGGATCAAGACGCCCCCCAAACGCCCAGGAGGTCGCAGACGAGGGAGGCTTCCCAACAACAGCAGCAGGCCCAGCACCCCCACCATTAATGTGCTGGAGTCAAAGGACACGGACAGTGACAGGGAAGCTGGGACCGAAACAGGTGGAGAGAACAATGATAAAGAAGAAGAGGAGAAAAAAGACGAAACTTCGAGCTCCTCTGGTAGGGGACCTGACAACTGGCTTTACCACTGTTTTGAAAGGTCCACATTGTGGAGAGTAAGGGCATGTGCCATAGTGAATAATTTTCCTAGTTGGTTAGTTTTCAATAAAATGAGAAATCTAAGACCAGGGCATTCTCAAGGAAGGACGCATAGCCGAGTTCTTGTTGCTGTCTTCTGCCCCTGGCCCGCCTACGATGTTTACTGTTTGGTCACTGAGGTTCGAAGTTCATCTATTTCCAGTGTGCCATTTCCTCCAGGGCGGGGCTCATGTCGCTCTGCTTAATATCCTGGATGTTCTGTCGGTCGTTTTGGTTATTTTCCTGACTGGGCTTCAGGTGTCCTACCCTGTGACTTAACCACAAATAACAGAACAGCCCGTTTGCCTTTGTCATGAAAGCAGCCTAGGCTCCTGGTTCTGTGGGAAAAAGTTTAGTGACACTTTCTACCTCAGTTTGTCCTCAAACATGATTCACTTCCTGCTTTTTTCTTAAGCACACCCTGTTTTACTTCTTAATACTCTGTTCTGCAGTTGTCATTTCCTGAACATTGCTTAACTTTGGTTTGTAGAAGCAAATTCTCGTTGTCAAACGCCAATAAAGATGAAGCCGAACAGTGAGCCCCCTGAGAATGTGGAGTGGAGCGGGGCCGAGGCCTCCATGTTCCGGGTCCTCATCGGTACCTACTACGACAACTTCTGCGCCATTGCCAGGTTAATTGGGACCAAAACATGTAGACAGGTAAGTATATTGATTAATAAAGACTTTCAGAGAGGGGGGAAAATATGTAATCCTTGTCCAAGTGTAAGAATAGTCTCAATTATTAACCTGATGTTCATCTCCTGGAAAGTACATTTTTTTTTTCCCCCACTGAAAGGGAACTGAGAGGAAATTATTCTTCTGACTAGATATTTCAGGTTAGGTGACAATGGATTTAAAAAGCCAGTGAGAATTTAGATTAAGCCTTATTGATCACATGAGGGATTACTGATCATAATGTAATCACAGCTGCTGTCCCTGCATGAGGGTTGAGACAACATCTTGCTTTGCTCTCTATTGTCCCCAGCACTTGAGCAATGTCACAGAAGAGACATGTTTCTGATATTAATTAGTATAAGAATGTGTAAATTTGCTTACCACTATGATCCTCACAGCTGTGACTATGCCTCTTGTCCAGGTGTATGAGTTTCGGGTCAAAGAGTCCAGCATCATAGCTCCAGTTCCCGCTGAGGATGTCGATACTCCTCCAAGGAAGAAGAAGAGAAAACACCGGTAAGTCCACTTGCAGCCATTCTGAGATGTCACCAGGATGCTGCAGGCCAGGTGTGTCCAAGGGTGTTGGGCAGCCTCTACTTGGCCCATTAAGAAAGGAACTTGAGCTGCCTCAAAAGTAGACTTGTGGAGTTTTGTTTCCACGAGCAGTTGCCGATGTTCTTCTGTAAGAATACAGCAGTGTCAGTAGATTTTGTGTCTTAAGAGTCATAAAAATTATGCTTACTCCGCTGCTTTTGGTTGAGACAAACCTAGTAACTTTTGCAGTAAAGGCTAAGCGAACATTTAATTTGTTCTAAGATGTTTCCGAGCTTGAGTGTGATGTATATGACTTCTGCGCTGGTTTATATTTTGAGGAGCCATGTTACCTTTCCAAGGCCTATGGCAGTGAGTGAGGTGACTTGGTTTGTAAGTGCAGAGCCAGAAGATGGCGGCTGGACTGTCAGCTTTAATGTCTTCTCCCCAGTTTTTCTGCAGTTGGGTGTTGGTAAGGGAGCATCTAGAAACGTGTGTACATGCTGTTCCATTTAATTTAGAACTGAAAGAACTTAGATGTGTTCCAATAGAATTCAGGCTTTAGTAGGTAATTCGGAATTTTTTGGTTGAATTATTTCTGACCATGGAGCTCAACTGAGTGATTAAAGACATGCCAGTATTAGCAACATCAGAATGAACCAGTAGGGAAATGGAACCTGCACATGAAGGGGTGGCCGCCCTCAGTCCTGACTAGGTGACCTTGCAAAGTGCACACATCAGGGCTCTTGGTCATTGTTTCCCCAGTCACCACAAATGCAATGCAAGCTGCATCTTTCAGTCACTTGGATTTAAGGCACCCCTATGTTCATGGCACAGATAGACCTGTTCAAGGAGGTTCTGTGGGATTTGTGCTGACCATTCTTCCTAGCTTCCTGGAGAAGACTGTTTTCTTTGTGTTTTGCAGATTGTGGGCTGCACACTGCAGAAAGATACAGCTGAAAAAAGGTAGGCATCTATCTATTCATTCAACTTAAAAATGTCTGCTTATCGTTTCAGAATAGTAACGGGGTTAGAGTTTATGATACTTCTATATAATTGACTTCTGTACATTAAGCTAAATTAAGTGGAGGATGTCTGTTGATTATATTGCCAGTCAGTTCTCTTGTGCAGTGAAGGCGAGTCACAGGTGGGTAAAGGAGCCGCACCCTGGGGACCTGCGATGGGGGTGGGGGGTGCTTTCGGCTATCATTTTGTAGACAGGAATATGTATCAGGTAGGGAAAGCCTGCTACGCTCCAAGGTAACGGGAAGAATGTGTTCTTGTTCCTTGTGTATGATCATCTCCCACCTCTGATTGACTTGCATGCCGTTGTCTTGATGCAGACGGCTCCTCTAACCACGTTTACAACTACCAACCCTGTGACCATCCACGGCAGCCTTGTGACAGTTCGTGCCCTTGTGTGATAGCACAGAATTTTTGTGAAAAGTTTTGTCAGTGTAGTTCAGAGTGTAAGTATTTGTTGCTTTGATGCAATTGCATGAGAATTAAGTGGGCCTTTGGTCAGCTATGTGCAGCCCACAACCTGCAAAAAAAATAGTAACTGAAGTTGACACAACATGGCGGCTCTTGCGGAGCCAGTGTCCAGCCAGTGCTCAGGCTAATGGGATGAAAGGAGCTGTTTGTCTCTGGTGGCTTAAATTTAATCATAGTGACGGCACAGAATGTAAGGGGAATCTAGAAATAGCTACCCAAATACTTTCTGGGAACCAGTATTGTCAGAGTTGGGGTGGTTCAGTTTTCAGAATAAACGAACTTGTCATAAGGGTGGTGATACTCATTATTACTGAAGCGGCACATGAAGCTCGGATACACAGGAAGTTTTTCTTCATCTGTGCAGCAGGATAGGGAGGCTGCTGTGAGGGTTCCATGAGTCCACGACGGTGACTGTCTCTGCAGGTCAGAACCGCTTTCCTGGCTGCCGCTGCAAAGCACAGTGCAACACCAAGCAGTGCCCCTGCTACCTGGCCGTCCGGGAGTGCGACCCTGACCTGTGTCTGACGTGCGGAGCTGCTGACCACTGGGACAGCAAGAACGTGTCCTGCAAGAACTGCAGCATCCAGCGGGGCTCCAAGAAGGTGGGGAAAGGGATGAGGGACATGGCAGGGCAAGGCCAGTGGTCTCACTCCATTAGCTGGGGCCAAAAAGTGATCACTGAATGAATGACACAGCTGACGGGGAGAGCCTGAGTTTCTCCTTGGGGAGCCACTCCCACCTCTGTAGCATAGGAGGAACCAGCTGTGAATGGTTTCAGGTTTGGAATAAGAGGTGTTTTTCTAGTTGTTTAGTAGATGATTTGAATTTTTTAAGTTTAGCAAATAGAATTAGCCATTTATCTATTCTCCTTCCTGCAAATAAATGGTGTTCTGTCTGAATATAGAGACCCATTCTTTCAAATAGTAGCCAATTTCCCTTCTGTGCAGAACAAGAGATAAAATTTCCCACAGTAGTTTTTGCAGACTGTTCTTTTAATAACCTTGAAAACATCACAGCCAGGAATTACATAACTGGGAAGTGCATGCAGGTGATTTTTTTAATTGTAGCAACCGTGACCTTAATGACCAAGCAAAGGAAACTAACAGCGTATACTGGGGAAGGTCAGTGTCTTTTCCTTGGAGTAGGTGGTGCGTTTATTCAATTAACCATTTTTATTATAATAGCTGGCATTTATTATTTAAGATATAGTAGGCACTTGGCTAAGTGCCCTGTGTATTAACTCATTAGCCCTCATAACTCCATGAGGGAGTACCCTTATGAACCCATTTCTAGGTTGGGAATCCCAGAGTTTGAGGACTTGAAAGGAGCAAGAACCCCAGGCCCCACTGTGGACCTCTGCCTTGGGTCACATGAATTAGATCACACTACTGCACTGCTCATAGCCTCGCCCCCTCCTACCAGGAGTTCCTGTTCTGGTAGTGCCTTATTTTTTGGCTCTTATGTTTTCAAGTGTTTAGATGGCTTTTCTCTGGGTAGTTCCTATCCATTGAGGTCATTCTGTCACAATGATTCTCTACTGTTTCCCATGGCAGACCCTGATGATGAACCCTAAAAAAATTTCATTTCCTACTCCCCACCCCTAACTGTAATAGCATAAACTCCTTTGGTTTAAATCTGAAAACTGTAGATACTTTCATGTACTTAACATGTTATTTAGCTAATTTAGTTTCTGATTTGGGAGGTTTTGGGAAATTTCCCTGGCAGGTGAATCTAGGCTGGATTAGAATAGGAATAGCTTGGGTAATTAGGGGCCTTTTTAAAGGAAATTTGGGATGAAAGCATAATGAACCATGGTGGAAAGTGAGGGATTTGTTCCCAGACATACTCTAACTAGAATTGGCCCTGCTCACCATTTGGCATCTGCTAAGAACAGAATGCTAAGCTGACGAGAGAGTGATACCACCTCTTGGCAGTTCTCCATGCTGTTGTGAGGAGCTGCTGTGGGAGGAACAGCTGAGCTTTGTTTTTGGTTGAAGTGAATCATTAAGTCAAGTGCTGAAGAAATGACAGGAAGTGCAAAGGTAGCTGTTGTAGGTACCTTGTTGAAGGATGGTTAGTTGATATTTTCTGGGAGGTAGATCTTATGTTCTGTACTTTATTTACAAATAACCAAAAGCATTGCAGTTTGTCAGCCCCTTTCGCAAAAGTGGGTAAGTTTACCTCTCATTACAGGCTCTTAATTCAGGGTACTTGGTGGCTACAAGGGGCCAGAGGATTTATAGGGATTCACCCTGTGATCTCGTCACCAGTCCACTTCGCTCTCCTGATTAAATGACTGTTGCTTTATTCTCTAGCATTTATTGTTGGCACCATCTGATGTGGCTGGCTGGGGGATTTTCATCAAAGATCCTGTACAGAAAAATGAATTCATCTCGGAATACTGTGGAGAGGTAAGGCCAGAGCTATCCAGCTCCGGGCTTGGTATGTAGCGACTTTGTTTTGTATTGATCATCACTGGGTCTGATTAGAAATGGATTAACACAAAATGCCTTTTTTGGCAACTGGACTGTTTCAGTCCTAGTCACATTTAGCCTTTATCTGGAGACAAGGGGTAAGAACATGAGGTTTGCGATGAGTCTGTCCTACATGATCCACAGCCTCATTGTTATAAGGACCTAGAAAGGAATGTCATTAATCTTACGCCTTTTCAGTTATAGAGTTAGGGAAAAGTCATAGGGCTAGCTTGAGTTTTTCATTCAGTAGAAAGATCCATTAATTTCTTCAAGAGTAATTCCTTTGATGTGGAAATATTTCTGAGTTGAAGTCCTTCAAGTCCATTGTTCTTTGTCGCATGCAGACCAAAGAAATTGGCCTTAGTGACCCTTGATTGAGTTTCCTCAGAAAGGTCCGGTTCTTTCTCTTTTTTAATCTTCACCCAAGGATAATTCTTTCCATCCTTTTTTAGAGAGTGGGAGGGAGGGAAGAGAGACAGACACATTGATTGGTTGCCTTCCGCATTTGCCCCTACCAGGGCTGGGGAATTTACAACTGAGGTACACGCCCTTGACTGGGAATCGAACCCGAAACCCTTCTGTCCAATGCTCTAACCGCTGATCCAAACTGGCCAGGGCTCCATTTCTCTTGATGAACTTGTGTGTGTGGTTTGGTCCCTAATCCAACACTGTCTTTCTTAAGATAATTTCTCAAGATGAAGCTGACAGAAGAGGCAAAGTGTATGATAAATACATGTGCAGCTTTCTCTTCAACTTGAATAACGGTATGTTTAGGAGTCAGAGCACTCAGTTTCTGGGTGGCACTTGGGAGCTGGTGTTTCTCATGCCCTGGCAGAAACTTAAAAATGGGCTGTTGCCAGCAATTGTGGGGAGGAGCTGGTCATGTTCAAGGGAAGTGGTCTCGGGAACTCTGAGCTACACAAGACATTGGCTGTGGGACATCCCAGGGTCTGGAGTCAGCTGGGCACGCTTCCTCCAGTTAGTGCCTCTGACCTGGGAAGGCACTGAATTTCAAAGCTTCTCCAACATTTCCTGGGTGTTCTCAAGGGACTGAGCAGCTAAATGGTGCTGCTTTCTTGGGAGGTGAGGGAGCGCTGTGATGAAAAGCAGGTGTGTAGTACCTAAGATGTTCTGATAATCCTTGGCTGAAACAGAGAGAGAATGAAAATTAATTTTAGATACAAAAATGCTTATCCTTGAGGTTGAGAAGAATTATTACTTTTTTTTTTTTTTTTTTGCAGGGTTTTGCTCAGTAATACATATTTATAGTTAGTTAATAACATTTGAGAGACAACTCCTGAATTATCAATTCATTTTACCTAGAACGGTATTTTCTTGCAAATGTCATTTGGACGAAGTTGGCTGAATGATTTACTTGCTTTTGAAGGCAATCCCTGAAGAACTAACCAATTGTATTTCCAGAATCATAGGAACTTTGTGTTTATTGATCTAAAACTAAAATTGTTCACTGCATTGTGCTTATTTTTTCTTTAGATTTTGTGGTGGACGCAACCCGTAAGGGTAACAAAATTCGTTTTGCAAATCATTCAGTCAATCCAAACTGCTATGCAAAAGGTAGGTGTTTCTGGAGTCAGAATTCCTGTTCTGATGCCAGGACCCCCAGTGATAGTGATGCATGGCATGGAGAGATTTCCTGTGTGACTGTCCCTTCCCTGGCTGACACCAGCGTGTCTCTCTCTAGTCATGATGGTGAATGGCGATCACAGGATAGGGATCTTTGCGAAGAGAGCCATCCAGACTGGTGAAGAGCTGTTTTTTGATTACAGGTTAGTAACAGTGCATTTCTGGTGTGACCTGAGGGCTTTCTCCTGGACTCGGGAAAGAGGCTGACTCTCTGCTCTTGCTGGGTCTTATGTTGTTGGAGCGTCTAATCTTAGGTCATTCTTTGCCTTGGGTATTGGTGGGAAGTTAGGATATAGTTTCCATTATACAAGCACTGGTTATTTTAAAGATAGAATGAAAAGAATGTAGAAAGTCCCATTTTTTTACCTTGCTGGTAGGAGCTGGGTGTGATCATGATGCAGTCAGTGTTGCTGTCCTTGAGGATATGCTCGGGTTGTCTTAAATTGTCCAGTGCTGGAAGACTGTTGGCCAGTAACCTACCTGCTCACCCTCAGATGGTGTTCACAGGTCTGGTATCAGGTTGGCCGTTTACACTGTTAGGCTCTGTGGGATAAACTGACAAGCTATTTAAAACTTTCCTGAATGTAGTCAGATGACTGTCTAGTTCAATCCTGTGGCTGAATATACGTCCCAGTCAGAAGCTCCGTCTCTGAGTCCTGAGTTGTCATAAACTAGGGCCCGTGTGTTGTCACTTTGAAGGTACGACCCAAAGCAGGTGGGACAGCGCCCGAGGACACACTGTGCTGGAGTGGGAGGACGCGGTGAATGAGGCGCAGCTGGGTGTCACTGGATGTGTGTGCCTTTCTCTGCACCCACTGAAGTAAGTGGGTGGTTGTGTTCATTCTCACCTCGGTGGGCCGCGGTCATGCCTGTCTCCTGCCGTTTCAGATACAGCCAGGCCGACGCCCTGAAGTACGTGGGCATCGAACGTGAGATGGAGATCCCTTGACGTCTGCTACCTCCTCCCCGCCTCCTCCAAAACAGCTGCCTTAGCTTCAGGAACCTCGAGTACTGTGGGCAATTTAGAAAAAGAAAATGCAGTTTGAAATTCTGAATTTGCAATGTACTGTAAGAATAATTTAATAGTAATGAGTTTAGACGTCAACTTTTTATGCCTTCTCACCAGCTGCAAAGCGTTTTGTACCAGCGAGTTTTTGCAATAATGCAGTATGGTACATTTTTCAACTTTGAATAAATAATACTTGAACTTCTTCCCACTGTTGGCATTTATCAGGGAGCTTCAGCTGATTTTAGAAAAGGACTGCATCCAAGGGAAAACAAACTCTCACATTTAACACCTTTGGTTTTGTCTAGTAGCATTGATTTGCTTAGTTATAACATATTAAATACAGGGGTGGGCAAAAGTAGGTTTATAGTTGTGAGTGCAGAAAACAGTTTATTCTTGTATTTGTACTACAACTGTATGAATCTGCCTTTGCCCACCCCTGTATAAATGTAATAGAAACATGACTTTTATTATCTACCTATAATATTGTATATACTTTGCCTAGTTATACTAAATATCGCCTATTAATAACTAAATGAATTAACACTACTTGCATCCTGAGATAGGGGCTCATAGGGGCTCATATCCCAGTCAGCCAGGTGAGGTCTGGAGAGCTACCTCTAAGCCTCGTTCTCTGCATATAAAACGACAGTGTTGGCTTAGGTGAGTTCCAAGAACCTGTTTTGTTCTAAGGTCCTTTAGACAATCCTTTAGAAATGCAGCAGTGTGACAAGATTCCTTACCTACCCACGAAAGAGGATGCTATAATCAAACTAGTTTTCAAGGAAACCTTGCGGGTACAGTGATAGCATTCCAGCCCCTCCCAAGATACACTGACCAATACTGTGGATAACTCTAAAAACGGCTCCAGTCAGTCTGTGTAGTTGGCCTTTTCTATAGTTAAGACAAAATTACTGATTTATAACGTGAAATTAATTTAAAACTTACTAATTATACAAATACTGATAAGACTGGTTTCTGTTGCATCAGTCAATGCACAAGCTATAGCAACAAGAGTCCTAAAATAAAGTTAATTTGCCACTTAGCTTTGGCAGTGAAAAGATTTGGCTTTACGTGCTAGTCACCTATGGGTTACCCTTAGCTCTGCCACACTTAACTATCCCCAGGAAACAGTGCCGCGTGCTCAGTTGGCTGTTGCTGATGGAGTCACTTAGGAAAACTCTCAGGCTTGCCCTGGGTGCCCATGCTCCAACCTGGGCACTCAGCATGAGTGCAGCCCATTTGTGCACTAGCACACGTGAGCCTGCTCAGGAGACATCCTGAGATTGCTCACCCCAGTGGTATCTATCAACAGGGCTCTCATTCTAGCCAACACTTTCCCATTGTTCACACCTCCCAATGCATCCCCAGGTGCAAACAACTGGGTGGTGGAGCCTTGAGTCCAGAGAGGTTCTGCTCACTGAATACACCACAGACCCAAATGCAGCATAAAGATAAAGAAGCAGTAATTCTTCATACACAGCAAGTTTTTAGAACCTTCATGAAGAACGATGTTCTCACCTGTTCACTATAGCCCATGTGATGAGCATCTACAGCAGAGTTGGTCAACTTCAGACTTTATACAGGGGTTTGGGGGGAGAGGGGGCACAGAGATAAATAACAGTATGCTCCCCCCATTACTGTAGACCAATTCTCAACCTTTTTCACCTCATGGCACACAAACAAATTACTTAAATTCTGTGGCACACACACACACAAATATATATTTTTTGCTGATCTGACAAAATAGGTTATAATTTTGATTCATACCTGACAGCTATTGTATTGGCAGTTGTCATTTTATTTGACAATCTAAGGGGAAAGAGGTCAGTGCCCTTGTGGCACACCAGTTGAAAATCATCGCTCCTGTAGTCTATGTGTGTTTATTTCCCTACCAGAGGAATACAGAAGTAAGAGTATAATAAGTATTGTGTCAGAATACAGGTGTTTTAAATAGTTTCCAAACAGTTTAAGAATATTACACATTGTTCTCTACCCTGAGCTTTCACCTAATGATCATAATATCCTCATGAAGCCCTGGCTGGGTCAGGTTCAGTTGGTGAGAGCATGGTCCCAAGGTGCCAGGGTTGTGGGGTTTAATCCCTGGTCGGGGCACATAATGAGAAATAACCAACGAATGCTTAAGTGGAACAACAAATCGATGTTCTCTCTACCTTCTCCCTGCTCTAAAAATGGATAAATTAAAAAAAAGGGGGAGGGGGTCTGTAATACTTGCAACAATAAAGATTTAAAAAACCACCTTACAAAGATGACCCACAGCTACAGTCCTGACCCCAAGTCGAGGCAGCACCTCACCCACAAACTTCTTCACAGTTCTTTTCAATCAATATTTTATAATTTATCTATCAACCCATTGCAGATCAGTAGTTTTACTGCTAGCTTTACCCAGTGGCCAGGTAAGTTTCTATTGAACGAGTACAAAAAACGTTTTACATAAATGTTAAAGGCATGCTTTAAAATTAAATACCCATTGCATTTTGAAGTTAGTTATTACAAGAAAGTCTTTGTATCTTACTTGGCTTTCTGGATTGAGTGCTTGATAAATCCTGAATGAACTGAGTAGTTCACAATCAGGTAAAGCACTACTTTCTTCATCCATTTTATTGTTTTTTCTACGGACACTACATGTTGAAAGATACTGGTCGGCAAGATCAACACCTTGCATATAATATTACACGGAACAGTGGAAACTGGCTTATTTCCTCTCCAGTATGCCAATTTGTCTTTTCTGTTTCACAAGAGGAAGCATCATGAATAGTTGAAATAATTCAAACTTCTCTTTTATCCTTCCAAATCAATAAAACGTCACCTTTTCTTCAGAAGGCTATTTCACCTCTTTTAAGTGTAGATGCTTCATCTTTCAAACATTTTAGCAAGCCTCTATTTATTTGAATTGTTCCACAAACTCTTGTTTTATGTAGTAATAAAGTTTCTGCAATTGAAATGCTATTGTAATAGTTATCTTGGTATATGTGATGCCCCAATTCCAGATACAGCCAAAGTAGTGACAGAATAGTCATTCAATTTTTTTCCTTGTGTGTAAATTTCCATATTGCAAATATACCCAGTCTTGATCTCACAAGTAAACCATACTTAATAATTTTAGCTAGGTTTTAAGTTCAAAATAGAAGACATCCCCTCCAGGGAATCATGCCTTCATCTAACGATAATTCTCGCATAGGTTTATATATTGTTTGAAATTTACTAATAAAGTGGTTGAGTACAGATTGAATTTTAAATAGCCTGGATGAAGGTTTAGTCATGTTTGCATTATCATTGAAATGCCAATAAGTCCAGATTTGTTCAAAACGATTTTGACTTAACGTCTGAGGAAATACTGGAACGGCTAGAACTGGATTTATAGACCAATATTCTTTCCAAGTATCCTTTTGAGTGCGCCCCATTAGCACTATCAGCCCTAAAATTTTTTTCATATCTGTTGGAGTAACAGGAGACCACTTTGTTGTTTTCGAAATTTTGTGCTTTCCCAAATTTTGGTTATAATACATGTTCGATTGATGACAAAGTAGTTCAAACAGATCGTCAAAAACCAAGTTGGGGATTTCAATGATGTTCTTAGAATCAGACGGTATAACTAACCCTAGAATTACCTTCATGTTTTTCCAAATTAGGGTGAAAGTCCTCTTTTGACCAATCATCTTGGCAACCAAGACACAAATTACACTCAAAATCGTGTGGAATTGTTCAAATTTTCAGGTTTGGAATCACTTGAAATTATGATTTTTCGCCTTTTTGAAGGAATAACTATATCACTGCCACTGTCAAAGCTTTCATCACTTTCACTTAGAATATCTGATAAGTTGTCAGCAAATACATGCATAATTTTATAAAAATAGCAAATTGATATAAAAGTTATTTTTATTACTAAGAGACTAATCACTTTTAATTCTTTTGTAATTTTTAACTCCAGTGAATGAGTTTTCCGTTACACAGTTTCTCAATGACAATAGAACAGAAACCACGAGAATTCTCGTGATCCATCCGCAATGTGGATAGTCTACCCAGAAACTGCTGCTTAATTACTTTTCAATACTGTTTGGTTCATTCGGCCTCCAGCCTCCCCTACATCCATTCAGTGACCCAAAAATCTCAACAGCTGCCCCTACCCTGTAAAAGTTAAGTTGTATTATGTAGATGGGTCATCAAGAAAGGGTCTGACTTTGTGAATTTTTTTTTTTAAACTCCTCACAGGAGGATTTTTTCCCATTGATTTTTAGAGAGTGGAAGGGAGGAAGAAGGGGTGGGGGGGCATTGATGTGAGAGACATATATGGATTGGGTGCCTCCCATATGAGCCCCAACCAGGTATCAAACCTGGAACCCAGGTATATGGCCCTTGATGGGGAATCGAACCTGTGACCTTTTGGTGCATGCTGATACTCTAACCACTGAACCACACCAGCCAGGGCCAAATCGTGAACTTTTTGAGAACCTAAGTATTCTTTTGAAAAGTTGTCTGAGCTTTGGGCTCCTGTTGGATTAGCTGAAATACATGCTTGCTATTCCCTCAGCCCCTTGTCAGAAACAACCCCAGTGAGGGTCAGCACATCAAGTATGAACCGTGGTTTAAAAGAAATCTCACCTTGACAATTGCCACGTGGTCTGCCACTGGAGAACGGAAAAGATCTCGTTCCCGTTCTAGGCATGTAAACCACCATCAGCGGAGTTACTGTGATTCCTGGAAGAAAAGAAGTCATCTTCAGAAGCAGGATTCAGTCCAAAACATCTGAGTTTTCACCTGTATGTGGTAAAATCTTAAGTTTTTCCAAGAAATTAGATACCAACGTTCAGCAAGGAGATTTGGTCATCTCGAAAGTGCTGTCAATAAAAACACTTTAAATTTAGGTGCTTCATTCCTGAATCAACTGTTCCCCCCGTTACTGAGCCTGTACTCCAGTGACCTGGGTTTGTGTTTTGAGGCTCTTGACCATCCTTGTTAGGTGAGGATATGGTTTGGGGAATAAAATGAAAAAGTTCAAGTCTCTCCCCGCCCCGCCCCCCTCCCAATTTACCTACCGTGAGTGCGCAGGTACAGGTATGGAATTTGAGGATGTGGGGTAACCACCTCCTAGCTCATCCCTGTTCCTTTGCTTCCTGTTCTTAGCCAAGGTACTCACCCCAGGGCACTCCTGATCCTAGAGCAGCAGTTCTTAACCTGTGGGTTGCAACCCCTTTGGAGGTCGAAGAACCCTTTCACAAGGGTCGCCTAAGACCATCAGAAAAACACATACATAATTACATATTGTTTTTGTGATTAATCACTATGCTTTAACTATGTTCAATTTGTAACAATGAAAATACATCCAACATATCATATTTACATTACGATTCATAACAGTAGTAAAATTATAGTTATTAAATAGCAACAAAAATAATGTTATGGTTGGGGGTCACCACAACATGAGGAACTGTTTTAAAGGGTCGAGGCATTAGGAAGGTTGAGAACCACTGTCCTAGGGCAGTGATGGCGAACCTTTTGAGATCGGCGTGTCAGCATTTTGAAAAACCCTAACTTAACTCTGGTGCCGTGTCACATATAGAAATTTTTTGACATTTGCAACCATAGTAAAACAAAGATTTATATTTTTGATATTTTATCTATTTAAATGCCATTTAACAAAGAAAAAAATCAAAAAAATGAGTTCGCGTGTCATAGGTTTGCCATCACTGTCCTAGAGAAACTTGACACACACTAGCAATGGGGTTTAAAACAGGTTCTGAGACTCCTGGATGTGTCTCCCAGAGGCCAATAAAGTAACTGCAGCTTTGGGCTTGGTTCCCAGGTGGAAGTATTGGGGCCTGGATCTTTATGATGTGGGGTAGGAGGGGCAAGTCCCCTGGGTGGTCCTGGTTTATACTGGGAATCACTTGAAAAAGATACTAAATAAATGTGGAAACCATTATATAAATGCTTAGTCTTATTACTATTTTTATAACCTGCAACTTTTTTGATCTTTAACTTTTAAAACTAATCTGAATGTGCCAGATTATTCTAAGAAACTCTTAAGAACCTACCTTTTGCATACTCCTTTGGCTATGCCTTGTACGTTTATAACCAACTCCATTATAGGTCTACTTTGGGAAGTGTGTTCAAGTCTTCACATCCTTAAGAAGCCTGTGAGGTTTCGGAAGAAAACAAACCTACAGAAGCCGAGCAGCAGAGCCATACCTTCCCAGGAGGTCTTGCTACCACTTCCATTTTTTTCTGTCCTCTGGTTAGGACGCGAATGGTGGGACAAGTCAACCGTGGGATTGACTGTGGACAAAGAACAGAGTTAAGAGGATGCGCAGGCTGGAACCGAGGCTCCCAATGCTGGGAGCTGATCTCCGGGGGACACAGCTGAGAACATGCCAACTTACCAGCAGATGCCAGAAAGAGCTGTAGCTTGCCAGCTGGTCTCTGGTCCTGCTGTCAGGGGCTCCTCAGTCAGGGACAGAGAGTACTCATGCCCCTCTTGCTGGGATCTTGGGAATTTCCCCAGGAGCAGCCTGAGTTCATCTAGAACCATGGCTTCTTATATTTAAACAACTGGATCGAACCAGAATGAAGGAGCCACCGGGCTGTATTGCACCTCCAAGTCTGACACTTGTTCACTGGTCGTACATCACTCACTCACTCCCAGCTCGTCTACTCACTGTGACAAGTTCCCGCTTCTCAGTTTCCCCACCTGTTTCCCAGGTCAGGTGGTCAAAGGATTAATCCCTTCATCCTTACAAGTGGCAGATGGAATCAACATGTCACTGAATCTCATAGGCCACATTCACGTCACCAGAAGTCACAGAAATGAGCATCCATGTTTGAAAAAAAGTTACAAGAAGTCTTGAGGGCTTAAAATGCTAAGCTCTAGAGCAGTGATGGCGAACCTATGACATGCGTGTCAGAGGTGACATGTGAAATCACTTTTTTGGTTGATTTTTCTTTGTAAAATATCAAAAAGATAAGTCTTTGTTTTACTATGGTTGCAAATATAAAAAAATTTCTATATATGACACAGCACCAGAGTTAAGTTAGGGTTTTTCAAAATGCTGACACGCCAAGCTCAAAAGGTTCGCCATCACTGATCTAGAGAATGCAGCCTGTATCACTGGGGATGTAAATTTTCACAATCATATCTCTCACTTACATGTAGGAAATAGTAAAACTGAAAACAAAACCAAATGCAACTTGTACAGAAATCCTTTAATTTTCTTTATTTCACACATTAAAAAATGAAACACACTATACAAATGGTTTTCAGAGCAGATTACACGCGGGTCCATTCAGACTCCTCTCAAAGTGTGGCCGACACTCAGTGCTGCCGAGACAGAGGCAGCTGTTAGCACGTAGCCGATGTATTGATCTAGATGCAGTAGCATGCAGCCCTCAGCATGACGGTTCATTCCCCTCTGTTCTTAAATTAGGTTAAATGGCGTCGGTGTCCATATTTACAGACTTGAAATGTATCGATCCTGAGCAGTTCTGATGTACATCTGAGACCGGCTGCTGGGAGTCTTGGTCTCAGTTTAAAAAGGGAGGCCAGTGGTGCAGGCGGCTGCTAGGAACTGGTCGTCATCCTGCCCACCAGGAACATTGGCCGCGGTGGCACAGTCAGACCCTCTACAAGGGTTAAGCCAAGTAACTGTAGGTGTCCTTTTCACCATCAACTCGCTCCAAATATTCTTTCTCGATCAGAATGTCAATGCATTTCTGGGTGTTATTTGAAAAAGGAAGAGGTAGTGGAGAAAAACACACTTATTAGCAGAATAGTGACAGGCACCCTCACCATGGATCCCCCACCTCTGAGAGCTCAGCAGGGAGCACAGTCACCTCATATATCCCTCCAGTGTAGCCAAGCCCTTGCCTTCCTGAATGGAGTCCCCTCAGCGTCAGCCCGGAAGCCACGCATGCCCATACCTGAACTGGGTCAGGTGCTACAGAAGCCAGTTGGGCCACAATCACCCTTTGCACCAGCAGGGAACAAAGTCATGGGATGCCCTGAACAAACTGGCTCTAAATGCAACCCCAGGACCCATCCTGGGCCCCCCTGGCTGTCGGGAGTCGCCTGTCAACTGCGCTATCTGCACTGGCTGTCCTTTCTATTTTAAACAACCCAGCCAGAAATGAGCTGAATGGTGCTCACAGAGGAGTCCCCACATAGCAACAGAGATGAACACACACTGATATATGCTACACCAGAGACCGAGTCTCCCTAACATGATGGGGACACAGGACAGCGGGAACTCCATTCTAGAGAGCTCAGTGCTGGTGTTAGCAGTGTGTATGGTTGAGCCTATGGGGCTCTGGCGGGCTGGTCACTGCTTCACTTGAGCTGATGGTGGTGGTACAACCAGCTAGCCGAGCATTTACGTCTGACTTCTCTCTGCATTCCAATGGAAGCTTAAAAATTAAGCCCATTTTCTTTTGTAGAAACTTGCATATGAGTAACCAAGTTTCTTCTTTAGGAAACACTCAATGACCTGCTCTTAGTTCCATCTTTTCTAAACCAACTGCCTCTGCTATGCAATTCCTGTACCTTGATGACCGGGACCCGTGGCTTGAACCGTGAGGACAGCTGAGTGAGCACCTCCCCAAGCAGCTGCTGATGCTTCAGGACCTTCCGCATCTTCATGATCCTCACAATCGCTGCCTGCAGAACAGAGCAGGGAAATGACAACTTAGCCTCAGAATGAAGGACAAGCAAGGCAGCCCCCGAGGCTGTGTCTGGGGATGGGATGGACCCGGCCTAACAGGGAGCAAACACGGCAGGTGAGCTGGCAGGGACTATGTCTGCCTACGTTTGGTCTTATGAGCAATTATAACAACTTCATCCAACTATAAAAGCATTTAACAAATGAGGAAATTCAGTCTTTAAGCCACAGAAGCTGCCTAACCCCTCCATTAAACAGTCTCCTTCCCTCCTATTCAAACCACATTTATTTGCTGGTATTTCATCGACCCCACCCAGAAGCATTTATCACCCTGAAGCTACCGACAAGCCACAGCCAAGCAGACTGGACGAAGCCCCTCCCCCGGAGAGACACCGCCCAGGTGCGTGCAGCAGTCACCTGGATCAGCAGTTTCCGGTCCTCTTCAATATTTTTGTGTGTAGTTTCTTGTTCCTGCTTCTGTTCGGTTTTCATTGGCACATTGATGTTAACCCTTAATTTCTTACTGTCAAGAAAATCAAGGAAACAATCACTATTATTTGAAAAGGCAGGCAGTCCAGGTTCCTGTCTCTTTCCAACTGCTCCCCAGACAGGGGCTGAGAGGTAACCTGGCAGCTCCCACCCTGAGCTCTGCAAACAAGCCCTCAACCAAATACCAAGCGGTTCTACCACTGGTCACGGGACACCTGTACACCAGGTATTCAGTTCCTTTACTGTTCTCCCAACTGTGTCAGGAGAAATAAAATCAGGACACTTGGACACAAAGGTCCACACTTCTAAATGAGCTCTTTAAGGAGGCTTATTTGCCAAATGAAAACCAAAACAAGAGTTAAAGGGAGAAACACCTGGAATTATCAAATGCCATCAAACTCCCACCCCTGCCCATCTAGCCTCACTGAGCTCACTCCCCGCCCCTAAACCCCCATTTGTAGTGACAACAGTTAATGTGCTGGGGTCAGGGGACTAGGCTATGGTCTAGGACCATCTAATCAGATTTCCTTACTTTTTATAACCAAGATATAATTTTATTAAGGTATCTGGCTTCAATTCCACTTCATCAACATTTGCATTTTCATCTTCCAAGACCTACAAGAAAATAGCTGTTACTACATAATCTCAGAAAAAGGCTTTTTCTAGCTTAACATTAAAAAGTGCACAAACATACCAACAACTTCGACTTCAATAAAATCTGTAGGACTTGTGCCAAAATGTCCTGCAATTAGAGAGAAAGGGGTAATAACTTAAAGAGAAAATACATTTTTCTTTGCAATAAAAGCCATACATACACGAGTCACCTAAACTGACAAATATACTCAGAAGGAAAAGAGAGAGAGATGGTGCTTTTGGAGGTT